CCACATGTCGTGTCTCGACTCCTAGCCATTCCCACATGTCGTGTCTCTGAGTAAGATCCCTAATTGCTCCTCGGATGCTTACATAGCTGCCCACTGCTCCACCTGGGTGCATCTCAGGCGTGATGGTTTAAATGTAGAGAACTAACTTCAACGTCGTGTGGGAACATACAATCACAATCTCAGCCTTCCCCTTTTTCAAAAATGACAAACGGCTGAGCAAGGATGATGCTATATTACATATTAAACCTCTGCATGTGTGCATGAAGCCATTTGTTCAGTTTTCAGTCGAAGTGTGCTGAGAACAGACCATTAAGAGCTCAGCACCAGCACTGCTTTTACACTGGGCTCAGTTTTAACAGGACTGCGGGTCATTTTGAGCCAAGGAAGGCAATGAAAGGATTCAACTCTGGTTCAACTCATAAACCTCCCAGCCACTGTGGACCATTCTTCTTCGCTGTCGTCTCCTCGGTCTTGGCCGCAGCGCCCCCTGGTGACAAGCAGCCATTACAGCAACAGCGCACAAACCTTAAACCGTAAACTGCAGAACATAACGAAGTTCTGACCCGGTTCTAAATGTGGATCTGTTCCGTGTAGCACCAGCCTGGGCTACCAGTGGAACCAGTGGGAGAACTGGACCAGTATCAGTAGATGCTCGAGTCCTGCGTTCACTCCCCGCACTGCAGCTGATCCGAACCTTTAATTAAAAACACCCACAACCGTCTGATACCAGACCCAAATCTTCCGAACCTCCTACCTGATTTATTGGAATCACATCCAGGTTCCGAGTTCTTTCTGGGCCACATTCCGCTTCTGTTCGATGTCGCCGTTCGATCAGAACACAAAGGAGGAGAACCGGGTTCCGAGGGAGAAGAACAGCTGGCGGAAAACCACCGATAGAGGAGAAGTCAGTTTTAGGTTGATACTCCAAAGACATCCACTCAGCATTCAGCAACGATGTGTTCTGGTGTCGCTTGACCCGGTTCTGACAGTCAGACTTGAGCTCAGCTGCGTGAGCTCCCTCCTAACGGTGCTGCACTTAGGGACCATCAACAAATTACAATTTAGGGACAGTCAACAAATTACAGCTTAGGAACAGTCAACAAATTTCAATTTAGGGACAGTCAACAAATTACAATTTAGGGACCATCAACAAATTACAATTTAGGGACAGTCAACAAATTACAACTTAGGGACAGTCAACATATTTCAATTTAGGGACAGTCAACAAATTACAACTTAGGGACAATCAACAAATTTCAATTTAGGGACAGTCAACAAATTATAATTTAGGGA